GATATTGCGATAATTGCCTATGTATCTCTTAGTAATGAGGTTTCATGGAGTAATATCAGGATATGTGAACCACGATCATCAGAATGTGGAAGTGCAGCTTTCCGGCCATCGGTACCATGTTATAAGAGGTTATTGAGTGAAACCTAGGTATCGCTCCATGGTGCTACTATGCACGGTACTATGTCGATTGCTCATGTTCACTTGAGACGAGTAGCTTGAGTTACTCAGATTCAGTCTTTTTAACTGAGCCTTTCAACAGCGGCGCTGAAGCTAACCCGAAACAAAATCTACAGCAGAGTGGGCGTCAAGGTACCTGCCAGTACCTCGAGCGTACCGCAGCTACCTGCTTCCCTCTGCGTCATACCGCCCACCATTGGGACGGAGCTCTCTGGCCTTCACCTCATCTGCCGACGTCGTACCTCGAGTCTACCATGTACCAGTATTTGTATACCTCACCACCTCACCACCTCACCCCGCCTCAGGACCTATTCGGCCAGCCCATCTCTACCGAGTCCACCCGATACTGGCTGTCCACACATCAAGAGCCTCTCTTGGGCGGCTTCTGACGCTGTCACCCAGGTTGCCTTGCTCCCATTCTCCCCCAACGGGCGGCGTACCCTCATCATTGGTGCCTACTGGCTACACAACCCGTCTGCCTCACTAAAACCATTCCTCTCAGCAAGCTTTCCCCCTCCCCCCACGGATCGCGACACCAGGCCGCATAAGAGGCGACCTTCCGAGCCCGAATCTTACCCCTCTGCCCCACGCCGCCATTTCCCATCCGCAAATCACGACCTCAACTCGCCGAGCGTTAGAGCTCCTGGCCCGTTCGGGCGGCCCGGCCAACCTGACCACGACTTCTGGCCTGCTGTTACTACCCTTCTCGCCTCGGCGCATGCTACCTGCTGGCATACCATTCAGTAACTGCCTCTCGACTCGTCGCACAAGATGTCGCAGTCGCCAATGATCTCCGTGCCCCTCAAGGCGACAAACGAGATTGACTGGGTGGCACCATTGAAGGCATATATTCGTGATACATATGGCGATGACCCAGAGCGGTACGCGGAGGAGTGCGCCACCCTCCAGCGCTTGAGGCAGGACGTACGCGGTGCGGGGAAGGAGAGCACTTCAGGAAGGGACATGTTATATCGGTACTATGGCCAACTGGAGCTTCTGGACCTGCGGTTTCCCGTGGACGAGCAGCATATCAAGATCTCCTTCACATGGTATGACTCGGAAGACTGCCCGTTCCTCCCAAGCGAGTATATCCAGTGTATCGAGTACTGACTGGATTACCACGTGACAATAGGTTCGATGCTTTCACCCATAAACCGACCTCGCAATACTCACTGGCATTCGAAAAGGCTTCCATCATCTTCAATATCTCAGCCGTACTCTCCTGCCATGCTGCTTTCCAGAACAGATCTGACGAGTCTGCTCTGAAGACAGCATACCACTCGTTCCAGGCATCTGCTGGCATGTTCACGTATATCAACGAGAACTTCCTCCATGCCCCTTCCTCAGATTTGAGTAGGGAGACAGTCAAGACGCTGATCCACATAATGCTGGCACAAGCTCAGGAGGTCTTCCTTGAGAAGCAAATCAACGACAAGAAGAAGAATGCACTCCTGGCCAAGCTGGCGTCACAAGCAGGTTGCTTTTACAATCAAGCCTATGAGAGCGCTCAGGAAAGTGCTAACAAGGCGATTTTTGAAAAGTCATGGCTTTTGATGCTCCAGGTTCGTGAGAGCTTCCCGTTCAAGATTACTCGGCTGATGGCTTACAAAACTTATAGTATAAATCAAATCTGCTAGACTCAATGGCGCAATACTATCAAGCATTGACGGATGATGAGAACAGTCAATTCGGTTCAGGCGTAGGCCGATTGCAGTATGCCGAGTCGCTGGCGAAGGAAGCAGACCGCATCGCCAAGGGGTTCCCTACATCTCTGCCACCTAGCGCCAACCTCAGTGCAGACTGCGCCAGCGCTCTGCAAGGTATTTCGAAGCGGCATCTCGCTACTGTGAAGGAGAAGCTTCAAGAGGCAGAGAAGGACAATGATTATATTTACCACCAACCTGTCCCGGCCGAAGCCAGCCTAGAAGCTATCAACAAACTGCCTGCCGCAAAACCCATCCCGGTTAGTGAGCTGTACGCCGGTCAGGATATTCAGCACATTACTGGCCCAGATCTTTTTGCCAAAATCGTGCCCTTTGCGGTGACAGAGTCAGCAAGTTTGTACGACGAAGAGAAAGCCAAGCTTGTCAGAGCAGAGACAGAGAAGGTTGACACCGCAAATGGCGAGATGGCTGCGAGTTTGGACTACTTGAGGCTTCCAGGTGCTCTTCAAGTTCTCAAAGGCGGATTTGATCAGGACGTCTTGCCAGATGAAGACTTCCGCCAATGGTGCCACGATGTGGCAAATCACGAAAATCCAGCTGGGATATTTGAGCACCTGAGGTCAGAAAAGGAGTCCATAATTCGAGTTCTGGATGGGTGCTCAAAGCAGCTGGACATGGAAGAGATAGTCTGCGAGAAGATGCGTTCAAAACATGAGAGCCAATGGACCCAGCAACCCAGCGCACCCCTCACAACCACTCTGCGCGGGGATATACGAAGTTATCGAGAGGCGCTTGATGAGGCAATAAAGAGTGACAATCAGCTTTCCACGAAGCTTCGCCAGAACGAGGTGGAATTCGCAGAAATGCGGCGTGCTGCCCAGGAGGATGCTGTTGACCAACTGTTCCACAAGGCTGTAAACGATGTCCGAGACAGGAGTGGCTACTCCGTCAGCCCAGCTGCCATCGAAGCCAACCTTCTGGATGCTGATTTTGAAGAAGGCGGATTGAGCGTGATGGACCAGATAAACCGAGTAGAGGATATCCTCAAAAAGTTGAATCTTGTCAAGCGGGAGCGAAATCAGGTCCTGAAAGACCTCAAAGAGAAGGTTGGTTGATCCATGCGGTGCAACCTATGTCTGCCCAACTAACAGTTCTTTTCCCCAGGTCCATAACGACGACATCTCGCAAATTCTAATCCTAAACAAGAAGTCAATATCCAACTACGAGAATCAACTCTTCCAGCAGGAGCTAGAAAAGTTCCGACCTCACCAAAACAGGCTGCTACAAGCGAATCACAAGCAGTCCGCTCTGATGAAGGAACTTACAGGAACGTTTAACACACTATTGCAAGACAAGCGGGTGAGATCGGAGCAGAGCAAGTACGAAACGATTCAAAAGCAGAGATCTGCCGTGATTGGCAGATACAACCGGGCCTATCAAGAGTTCCTTGACCTCGCGGCCGGACTCGCCAGTGCGAAGAAGTGGTATGCTGAGATGAAGGAGACAGTAGAGAGTCTAGAAAAGAATGTTGAAGCATTCGTCAACAACCGACGAGGCGAGGGTGCCCAGTTGTTGAACAAGATTGAGGCGGCACAATCCTCTAGCAGGTCTTCTCAGGCCGAGCTGGAGCAAGAACGTCTGCGAGCTCTCATGGACCGAATGTCAATGGAGAGCCCAAAGTCACCGCCACAGCCACAGCCGGCCACAAGTGGACGGCCAGCGCCAACACCGCTATTTCAGGCTGGGCAGGCACCCCGATACGGGCAAGGAAGCTACCAGGGACAATATCAAGTCCCAACCTCCCCTCCTCCTAACCAACCCAACATGGTGCAGCCAGGCTACCAGACTTATGGAAACCCAGCAACAGCGCAATCGTATGGGCAACCACAAGTCAACTCATATGGGCAAGCCGCGTACAACCCAAGCCAGTATGGGCGGAACCCTGGTCCAACGTCACCTCCGCCAAATCAGTCTACTTTCGGCGTAAATGCAATGAGAGGCCCAGTATCTCCTCCACCAAATCGATCCTCCTTTGGATCGCAGATCCAAGGCTACCCAGGATATGCTACTCAGGGGCAACAAGTGCAGCCAACAGCCCAACAAGGCCAGGGTGGTTACATGCCGCCTGGCTTTGTCCCACCTCCACCTCCTCCCGGCCCTCCACCTCTTGGACCCCAGCAGACAATTCACTACGGACAGCAACAGCAGATCCCACAGGGATATGGGCAGAAATCTCCACCTGCGCAAACATCACAGCCCAATGACCCTTGGGCAGGACTAAGTGCCTGGAAGTAAGTAAGGATGGGATGCCAAGACGCAGAAGGAGGAAGAATTACTCGTCATACATAGCATAAAAAGAGGAGGGTTTTGCATGGGTATGGACCTGGTCAGGGTATGTTTAGAATGGGGGGTTGTGTCTATTGTTTACGAAGCGGTGTTTTATCATCATTGACACGGAATATATGCATGCATATTTGCACCTGAGTTGATCTCTCGTTGACCCGTGGTGAAGGACAGGCTTATGCCCACGTTGGTAATTATGTGCATTAGGAGACGGTTACAAAGTCCCTGGAGGGAATCATATGTGAGTGACAAATAGTGTCGTTATTATTGGGTTCCCCAACCAACGACTAAGATATGTCAAGCGTTAAGGAAGATACCTACTTAGCTGCCCCCGCGGTGCATTAACCCGACGGCCGAGGCAGAGTGGAGCCGGAACGGATACTGAAGGCGGTTATTGAAGGCCGACTCACGAGGTAAAATAATAGTGGAGAGAGATAGTGCAATGCCTAGCCTGTAGCGAGCAGCCTACCAGAGAGCCCCGAATTCGGGGGCAGGTAATCAAACGCACCGCCGGAGAAGCGCTGTGGGGAAGGAACAACTGGGGAAGCAGATCGGGATTCCCTTTTAAGTCCAGGATCCTGGGACGACGTTTTCCTGTCTGTCTTCGTGTTTTATTCCCATTCCTTTCTCCATCTTGCTCTCGCTCGCCGTGACCTTCTGTCTCTGTCCGCTATCTCTAGAGCGATTACCCCAGAGCCCGAAAACGAGGAATTATCGACGCTGCGCTGCTCGCCGGTTCTCCCACCGACCACACTCTCCCTATCTACCTACGTAATTGACGTCCGACTTTCGGGCGAAAGGACCGCAGTTCGCACCATGGCGGCGCTCAAGGGCAGCGAGATTGCTGAGCACAATGACGCCAAGTCATGTTGGGTTATTGTTCATGTATGATGAGAATTGACCTGTTTATTGTACAGGCATTGAGAAATACGGGCAGCAGCTAATTTCGGTACAATGGACAGGGCAAGGCGTACGATGTGACCGAGTTTCTACCTGGTACGACTAGCACCTAACAACGCCCGCTTTCGTCGTTACGTTTCCTCAACTAACCATCCTCTGCTATTCAGAACACCCCGGAGGACAGAAGATCATCCTCAAGTATGCCGTAAGTGCGACTCGAGCGCTCGGGCACGAACGAGTGCCGTCTATCCAATCGCAGGTTGTTGAGGAGACTAACGAGCTCTCTCCGCGCACTTCCAGGGCAAGGACTGCACAGAAGAATTCGAGCCAATCCACCCCCCTGATACTCTGGACAAGTTCCTAGACAAGTCCAAGCATCTGGGGCCGGTTGACATGGGCACCGTCGAGCAGGAGGTGAAGGAGGAGGACCCGGAGGAGGCTGAGCGTCTGGAAAGGGTCGCCCAGAAGCCTCTGCTGTCGCAATGCTACAATCTCCACGATTTCGAGGCCGTCGCGAGGAGGACTATGAAGAAGACGGCCTGGGGTTACTATTCCAGTGCAGCTGATGATGAGATCGTGAGTCTCCTAACCGCATCTTCCCACTCGGCTGAATCATGGTATTAACATGGGTTTCAAACCTAGACAATGAGGGAAAATCACAGCGCTTACCATCGCATATGGTTCCGGCCTCGCGTTCTCGTTGACGTTGAGAATGTCGACATCTCTACCACGATGCTGGGAAGCAAGAGTTCAGTCCCCTTCTACGTCACCGCCACTGCTCTGGGCAAACTTGGTGACCCTGAGGGCGAGGTCGTCCTGACCCGGGCCGCTCACAAGCACGGTGTCATTCAGATGATCCCTACGCTTGCATCCTGTTCCTTTGACGAGATCTGCGACGCCCGTAAGGGTGAGCAGGTTCAATGGCTCCAGCTCTACGTCAACAAGGATAGGAAAATCACACAGCGCATCGTCCAGTACGCCGAGGAGCGTGGCTGCAAGGCTCTCTTCATCACCGTCGACGCCCCCCAGCTGGGTCGTCGCGAGAAGGACATGCGCTCGAAATTCACCGATCCGGGTACGAACGTCCAGGAGGGCCAAGAGACCGATAACAGCCAGGGCGCCGCCAGAGCCATCTCTAGCTTCATCGACCCCAGCCTCAGCTGGAAGGACATCCCCTGGTTCCAGAGCATCACTAAGATGCCCATCATCATCAAAGGTGTCCAGCGAGTCGAGGACGTCATCAAGGCCGTCGAGGCCGGCTGCCAGGGCGTCGTCCTCTCCAACCACGGCGGTCGCCAGCTCGAATTCGCCCGCTCGGGTATCGAAATCCTCGCCGAGACGATGCCCGTCCTCCGCGAGCTCGGCCTGGAGAACAAGATCGAGATCTACATCGACGGCGGTGTCCGTCGTGCCACCGACGTCCTCAAGGCCATCTGCCTGGGCGCCAAGGGCGTCGGTATCGGCCGACCGTTCCTCTACGCCATGAGCGCCTACGGCCAGCCCGGTGTCGAGCGCGCCATGCAGCTCCTCAAGGACGAAATGGAGATGAACATGCGCCTACTGGGGTGCAACAAGATCGAGGAGCTCAACTCGAGCCTGCTGGATACCAGGGCGTTGTTCACACATACCTCGACGCCCCCGGACCACTTGTTCAGCAGCGCGTACGAGTCCCTTGCCACGCCTGCGCAGAGACCCAAGTCGAAACTGTAGATAGATATAGATGTGTAGATCGCGTGCTTTGGTCACGTTTCAGTAGACGAGTTATAAGCTACCTTCTTTCCAGCGGCAGATATGACATAGAGTCCTCTTTTTATTTCCTGCATATAATATATAAAGTAGTTTCTACACGAGTCCATTATCTGTATATTCCTGGTAACTCTGAAATGACGCCCCTGTGTTTCTACTCAAAACGCAACCCACTAACACCCGTTGTAAATGCTCGCCTGACAAAACTCGAATTCAAAATGAGACAAACACCTCTACAAACCCCGCATAAAATCATGCAATGACATTGGCTTCCTCACAGCGTTGTTGAGCCCTTCGTGATACGTGATCCAGACGTTCTGCTCCTCCCTCTTGGCCCGCTTCTCTTCACTATTACCGGCCAGCTCTGACAGCGGCTGTGCCTGGATGATCCGACCGAAGAAGTCCCTCTTGACCACGGTGGCATCCCTTGCTTGGGCGGCAACAGCCTCGAGATTCTCTTTGTTGTCTAGGGCTATTGCCACGGGAGCGTCGTTTGCGCCGCCGCCTGACTTGAAGCGGGCTTGGCGAGCCTGGGCCTCGCGGAGGGCGATCGTGCGCTGGAGCTCCTGGTCAAGGGCCTGCCGGACGGCAAAACGTACTGGTGCCTGTGAAGATAGGGGTGAAGCTGCCGTCTCAAAGGTGGAGAGAGCGTCGAGGTCGCTGTGGGAGAAACAAGCAAGTTAGTTACAGATAACTTAAACGAACAAGAAAAAAGGGGCTGGGGGATCACTTACGGCTCTAAACGATAGACCCATTGGGGGGCACGATTCGACATGTCCTCGCTCTCTATCTTGCCCTTTTGCAGCAGGATCCCGACCTCGGCCAGGACTTCTGCCGCCCGCTGCACCATGGCCTTTTCGCTCTCCTTTCGGACGCTTGCTATCGCACCCTGGCTACCGCCAACTACAACAGGCTTCACATCGGGAGAAACCATTCTGATCAGGTATGGGAGGAATTCGGAGGACACTTCCTCTGCGCTGCGGAAGGACCGTGACATTGTAGGGCTGAGCTGAGCAAGGATGGACTGGAGCTGGGAACGGTTCAGCTTCTCTGCTTCGTGGGCTTGGTAGTCGGCCCGCGGGCCGGTGAAGGGCAACGGCGCCTCTGCTTCACCGTCGTCGGCACCCCAGCGCTTGTCGTAGCCCATGTTTTCGTAGTGTCGTTTCGGGGATGCGAATAGGTGGTGGCATGCAAGTACCGGCTGTTTCAAGTACGGCGCCAGCTCCCACTCTTGACTGGCATACAGCTTTGACTGACATGTGTCGTGGAAATAGAACCAGTCGTATGCCTTGTTTGGTTTGGTTAGGTAGCAGTCGTCGTTGAAGTCGCGATTAGGGTATTCCGCGAACACCTCTGTCAGGATATGGCTGATCTCACCACTAGTGTCAATCATCTGGCCCAGGCGCTCCATCGCGTGCTTCTTTTGATGCTCTCCGAAGCCCAATTCTGCCTTGGGCTGTTCGTGCTGGTGCTTTTTATCCTCCTGGAAGTCGATCGCGGGCTTGGGGAAGCCGCCGCCTTCTTGGAATAGCCGAGTGACAATGTCCTTTGAACTGCCTCGCCCGAGACCTCGAGATCCAGCAGCGCCACTGGTCAGATCATGCATGATGTTGTGTTCGATCCACTGCTTTGTGAGCCGCTCATTCCCGTGGACATTGGCAGCCCGAAAACGCCCTGCTACCCATTCTCCGACAACCATGACACCTCGAAGATCACCTTCGACTGTGCTCGCAGCGCCTTTCCTGGCATCAGCGCCAGTAGACATGCCCCATGCTGCCTCGCAAAGTTTTCTGGCTGCATCCTTGTCGCATGGAATAGCTTCCTTGTCAAACACACTCTTGAGGCGGTTCACCACTGCATCTATGGATGGTCGGCCCACGTGAACGATTTCTGCCAGGTTCGACTGGCGAAGCGGCCGAAGCGAGGGGTGATATACATCATTGCAAATAAGAACCAGTGGACGCATGAGTCGGAAGTCATCGCCCTTCTTCTTCCGCCCTTGGTTCGCATTCCTCCCCAGAGCCGCTGAGGCACTGTTCTTCTGGTCTGTCAACACCAAATCGATCAGAGCCTTGACGAAACCTCCCTCGCCAGAACCTCCGGAACCGGAGACCACACCGTCTACCTCATCCACCACCACGCACACTGGCTTGGCTGGCTTCTGCGTCACATCCTCGCCTTTTCGATTGCTAACCGTCCTGACGGTCTCTGTGCCCAAACTCGTCCGTATGCGATTCTTCACCACATCGCGGCTTCGATCGTCGCTGGCGTTGATCTCCATAACCTCGTAGCCGGCTTGTCGAGCACACGCATGTGCCAGGGTTGTTTTGCCCAGACCCGGGGGCCCAGTGAGCATCAAGATCTTCCGATGCGGCTTCTCCTCCTCCGGTTGCTGTTTCATCCCGGCCCGTCTTGCGATAATCGGCCTGGCTTTGGCCGCCCCAGGGAAAACAACAGGATCCCACTTCTTGAGCCATCGCAGGACCAATCTGTTCGTGCTGTCGTCTCCGCAGAGGTCTTTGAAGTGGCGTGCACGATATTTTTCGGTCCATAAGAGAGTCTTCTTGGGGTTTTCGCCGGTGACTGCTGGCGTTTCGACAGATGGCAATGGGCCCGTGTTGTTGGAGTTGGAGACCCTCTTGTCCGCTCGGCTTTGCGCAATGTCTTTCGAGGCGGCGTTGATTAATTCGTGAATGTCGATACCATAGTAGCTTTTTTTCGCTCGTCCCTCCTTGGTCTTGGACCTCGAGGCTACCATGGACTCGTATGTGGGGGCTGCCGAGACCTTTCGTTCCTTGACCACAGTTCCTTTTCCGTTACATGTTGTAATAGTGTAGCTAGATGGTGGTGCGAGAGTGTTCAGTAGCGATTTAGAGAAGAATGGCAGCCCAGTGGACCATGCTGGAGGCGGAGGTGGTACTATCGCAGGGGCTTCTGAAAGAGAATCTGCTTGATATTCCTCGGGCACGATCTCTTGGGCATCCTGTGTTGGTGATGGCTGCCGGTCTGGAATTTGCGTGCTGTCATCACCATTCTCGGTCATCCGTTTTTTCGAAGGCGGTTCGGGGGTTTCTGTTTCGTGTTCGTCATTATCCGATTCATCATCGTCTTCAATAAAAGGTCCCGTTGCCCGAGGCTTTGGCTTGGATTTCGGAGGCTCATAGTCGTGGGGTTTGTCGCGTTTAGCAGGGGAAGCTCTGCTCTGCGAAAGATCCAACGGAGAGGAAAACGACAACATAATTGACCATTTCTAGCAGTTCAAGTAAAAAGAAGAACAGAGCCGTTAAAAAGGTTCAATTACTTCGTCCGATGATGTGCATTGGCTTGGTGATATGGAGAGGACCCAGCAATTGGATACCCATGCATTAAACGCGTCTCGAATAGTTCTTTAATTGAAGAAGACGCGTTTCGCGAGTATCTGCACCTGGGGCAAGTAGATGTAGCTGGTACGAGACTTAGCTGCTAATCATCACCTATCAGATAGTTCCCAGTACATTAAATAAGCGGGAAAAGGTGCTGTGTACCAGTACCGATTACAAGGCACATTTCTAGCGCCACAGGTGGTAGCCAGTACTTGGCAAACAACTCGGCCAATGCCGGTATCGTCCCAACGTTTATCCGCTAACGAGGGCCAAAAATTTACCAACAAGCTCTCATCACCATATTGTCATTAGATGTTACTCGCGTGAACCACCGACCCAATATCTCACACATTGTGAGGTCAATTCGCCAAAATGAGAAAACCAAAGAGGTTCTACAGCTTGAATCGACCTGTAAGCTATACCAATTGAGCCCCACACCATATTGCCGAGCCGTGATCTCTTTGATATTTGATCCCCCACTGACAGTTGTTGGATACAGAAAGTACGTCAATCATGGAACAAGCACAATCTCTACAACCTGGCCCGTATGGTTGGCGACCAGCCTCCAATGAACGGAATGAGGACTTTTTTCCAGCAGAAATGGGACGCGAAAGCTCGAACTAGAGGATACCACGGAGACCACATTCCCGAGAAGAAATGGATACGACTCTTTGACCGCCGCCTCCGGTCCGCTGTGGACATGCCGCCGAAGTATCTTGCCTTAAACGACGGTTCAGAACAAGCTGCTGGTCGTGGTTCTGGTTTGACAACCAACCAAGTGTCTGCCGAGAACTTCTGGGCTACGGCTGAGGTTAGCAACCAGTTTCCCGACAGAGTCAACCATCCCCGCATGAGATCGGCGTCGCGATTATCGAAGAACACCCTCCTCGCCCAACCCCTCAGCAATATGACTCCTTATATGCAAATGACGTTTGCCCCGCTGGAGAGAAGACTTGATACCGCCATCTTCCGAGCTCTGTTCGCCAGCAGTGTCAGGCAAGCGCGGCAATTTGTCATTCATGGTGCAGTTAAAGTCAACGGAAAGAAGGTATAGCACTACGTGCAGTGACACTATGGGTCTGAACTGGTGCTAATTGGTTTTCCAGATGGTGCATCCTTCATATCAACTCAACCCAGGTGATATGTTTCAGGTCGACGTTGAGAAGGTTCTGTATGGTACTGGCCAGCAAAAGATACCACAAGAGTCTGTTCGTTTCAAAAGCCGGCTCGAGAAAGCAGAAGAGCGAGAGGAAAAGGCTCAAGCTCAGCTGCTGAAGGAGAACTCTGGAGAGGTTGAATCCGAATCGGCTGAAGAAGGCTCAGAGTCCGCCGAAGGTGCTAAGTCAGCGACTTTATCGGAAGATGAGCAGTTGGCTTTGAGGGAGCAACTTTTGGAATCTCTTCTCGTCGATGTGAAGATGGTTCTCAGAGACAAGACCCGAATGAAGCTTTCAGCAAAGGATAAGTCTAGGCTTCGGGTTTTCCGCAAATCTGCTGCCAAGTTCTTGGCTCGTCCCGAGGGTTCAGAAATCGAGGCCGACGAGCTTATTGATGAGCTTCAGACTCAGATGAAGTCACTTAATATGTACTCTTACGGCAAAA